CCACTGCAAAGCCGTGATTTTGTGAAGTCATGAAGCAGCGCCCGGTGCCATGGTGTACGCATGGCAGATTGTGTCCGCGATTACCATATTTCATTTTATATGTCTTGCAGCCGATAGCTGTTGCGAGCAACTGATGACCCAAGCAAATGCCAAATATGGGTTTCTTTCCATTTTTCAGCACCTTTTGTATCTGCGTAACAGTATCCTTACATATGACCGGGTCACCAGGACCATTACTAATAAATAGCCCATCGAACTCCTCCTCTTTCAGCGCATAATTCCATGGCACCAAGTCTACACGCGCACCGCGTGCCACAAAACATTTAATCTGATTCAGTTTTAAACCACAATCGATCGCACAAATCCGTGGCGTCCCAGAGGCATTAAAGACGCGCGGCTCCTTAACCGAACACTCAGCAACCAGATTGCGCAAGTTCGGATCGGCGAAGGTTGGCATTTGTACATTCGCTGCTGGCATCTCATAGACAATGCGCCCCAGTATGGACCCATTTTCGCGTATCTTTTTCGTAAGTGCGCGTGTATCAATGCCGCTTATGCCCGGCACCCCATAACCTTCCATCCAACGCGAAAGCGTCTGGCGCGTCCGCCAATGTGAGGGTGCTTCACACACTTCACCCACCACCAAAGCAGCCACTGTAATACCCTCGAACCATTCGAAGTTCACCGGCAAGCCATGTTCGTCGAGTTCCTTCTCATCTGGCACGCCGTAATTGCCGATCAACGGATAAGTTAGTACAAGTATTTGTGCGCGATATGAGCGATCAGTCATCGATTCGGGATAACCGACCATGCCGGTTTGGAAGACAACTTCACCATCGATGGGTGTTTTAGCGCCAAAAGCGCGACCCGCCAGTATAGTGTTGTCTTGTAAGACCAAATAACAATTTGGTGATTCCATTGCGCGGTAAATTACTGTAGAGCTGTAAAAGAAGAGTACACTCGTATGTAGTGCTTATTAGCATTTGAAGCAAAAGAATATGGGAACAATTTAGAAACGTTAAAATCGCTACAGTTGATTTCGACCGCTGCTTTCAAATCCATTTTCCCGATAAAATTGATTGGGAACTTAATATCGTTTTAGACGATGATGAGATCCCAAGCCAAAATTGACATTGGAACCGGTTCTGAGGTTTTATCTTAGAAACTGTCTTGGAGAGATATTTTAGGCTGAGACACATCGACCCAGTTCCATTTAAACCTGCCTTCGTTCTGAAAAATATCAGCTGTTATCAAGACCCTGTTTTCGCAAAGGAGTCTAAAGATATGAGTTCAGGAATTCTGAAGATTCCATCACTAGGTAAGGGAAAGCGATTATAAGCATACACCTTCCTCTGCAATTCCTATATTTACGAATTCAGTATATAGTCGACAGCAGATGGACTAGTCTGCACGTGTGCAATGCATCGGGCCAACATTCGGCTGCTGCCCGGAATAACAGCGGGCAGACTGGACTATTGAACACATGGCCGCCAGCTTCGAAGCCCGATCTCTGCAGAAGAGCTTTAGAGATGCGGAACAGATAGAATCCACTGAGAACTTCCTTTGCGAGCACCCCGTACTCCAAAAAAAATACCACAAATTTCAGTGGGGCCGCTTCTTTGATGCCTCTGAAGGTTAAAGACAGGTAGGCGCAGGTGTGGGGAAAATCTTCTCCTAAGCATCAGAATTGACATCCAAGTGAAAGCTTTAACCAGAGTTGCTCGGCAGACCTAACTTAAATCATTGCAAAAAATACATTAATAAATAAAATAAAACAGATTAAAATTGATTAAATAATAATAAAACAAAACAAAACATAATGAATTGAATACGAAAAAAAATTTAATGAAATTAAATTGAAAAATTATAAAAAATAAAATAAAATAAAGTAAAAAATAATATAAAATGATATAAACTCAAATTAAATTAAATTAAATTAAAGAAAATAATATAAATAAAATGAAATGAAGATAAATTGAAATGAAATGTAGTAAAATAAAATTAAATAAAATGACATAACAAATGAAATAGTGGAAAAAAGCAACAAGCGAACTTAGCACAGTGCGCAGGCAACTGGCTGAGTCAGTGGGATCGTCGATTCGAATGCTACTGAAAGAAGTCTTATGAGGATATGTGGTGATTTCCGACATAGCTATCACTTCTACCATTTTTTTTTAATTATTGTTGCTTTTCCACAATAGTTTTTCATTAAAAACGGCCTCAAGCTCAATAAAAATTATTGAATAAAATTAAATAAAATTAAATAAATTAAAATAAAATTAAGTAAACTAAAATGGAATAAAATAAAATATCTGAACATAAAAGAATAAAATAAAGTAAAATGTAATGTAAATTAAATTTAATAATGTAGTAATGTAAATTAAATTTAATAAAATAAAATGTGTGCAATAAAAAGGCGAAATACAATAATCAAGTTATAGATTTAAAAATAATAAAAATATTTTTATTGAAAACATGCGCATTTCATTCATACAAATGCATGTATGTATATGTATACTTAAAAAAAGTTTGGTAACAATTTTTTTTCGCTAAAAGGACGTCACTTTTATTTATGCCTGTGTCAAAGAGGGTATACATTTTTTACCAGTTATCACCGGCATGCCTTTTTGTTTACATATGTATTTTCTTAGAGCACGTGCGCACATTTGTCGCTCTCCAAACACACAAAGCTTGAGGTATGTACATACATATATGTATAAAAACAAACCACGAAAACTAAAACAATTTGTTTTAACTTAACGAATTACGTTTTCAACAGAGAGCTAAAATTTAAATTTCTCAATAAGAGAGAAACTAGTTTGTTGAAATCGAGCGGCAGCATAAGACTAAGTATGTGTTAGTAAATATATAAATTCATATAAGTAGATACATACATGCATATGTACCTACATAGGTATACCGGCACAATAAATAAAAATAAGCATACGTATGTCCATTAGGATGGCTCCTAGTTATATGGAGAAAAATAAGCGAAGCGAAAAAGAGTTTACCGATTGAAAAATATTGCTTTTCAAGGATTCTATACAATTTCTACCAAAAATAGTTTTTTCGCCACAAAAAATAAAATGGAAAACTTTGAGCGCTTTGAGCCACCTCTAAATATTTTTTGAATGACCTCACCCTTTGTATAGTTTAGTCTTTAGGCTAATCACACATTTCTAGGGGGTGAGACCGAGAATCCGATTTTTTGTTTCGATATAAGGGCCACCCTAATGCCCATATATACATAAGTATGAGACTGAAAATCGAATTGTGTTCTAGATATGTAAAAGTATGTTTTTGCTTTAAGAAATTTCCGATGGGATTCTCAATATAGTCTTCCAC